TTGGGTTTCTGCTGCGGCCATGTGTAGTAATTTGGCAAAATCGCTCTCACGAAACATTGCGCCTGCGCAGACCGACGCCCTGACCCCCCCCCCTCAGGTCAGAATTCTGGAAGCCTCATATTTTTCACATGTCCCATAAGTCCCACGCCTGCCAGTGTTTTATGACTTCCGCGTACGCTAGAAAAATGACCGCCGCAGAAACCTAGGGGTTTGCCCGTTTAAGGTTTAGGGTTTAGGATGTCGGGTTATATACGAGGAATGAATAAGAAAATGGAAACTACGATATTGCGCTTCTCCCACTCCTTTTCCGTCCTCAGTGTTTAAGGTTTAGGGTATTGTATGATGTTACCATGATGATGGAAATTCAAACGGATAAGAAAGTAGAGAATGAAATGGACACCAGACGAACATGGAGATCAGTTTACTGTTAAGTCCATTCTTGTAATTCCAACCTCTGTCGATACGATACAACAAGCAGCTTCCTGCGCCAATGGACAATACGCCCTAAACCCTGAACCCTAAACTCTAAACGCTGAGATTCAAGCTTTCTGTGTCGCAGTAATGAAATGACTTAACAGGCATCAACCCCAATGCTATATAAACCCTTGTGACTGACAATGAACCTCAACGCCACAGGCATTCACAAGAGGTCATCAAACGTGATTTGGGTATAGTCCCCAATATGGACCCCATAATTGCCTTAATGATCTCTAGATAAACCCTAAACCCTATACCCCAAGGATCACTTAGGGAGTTCCCTGTAAGACACCCCCCGGTGTAAGGCCCTTGCTGTTCGGCTTTGAGCTTGTTCTCTTCGGCCTCCGGTGTGCAGACGGTTGGGGTGGAAAATCCGGCGAAGCATGGGGATTTCCCAAAAATTTGGGGTACCATTTTGGGGGTCCCAATAATAAGGTTTATAGTATTTTGGGGTCTATATTGGGGTCCCCCTATTTTGGGAAATTACCACATGGGATGGTGTGGGGTGGGTGGGCTGCGCTACAGTTTTGATGTTGGTAGTGGTGTGGGTGTTGTGAGCCATGCTCTCTAGGAGTAGGTGCAGAGGACTCAAAAACACGGGCTCCATGCTGGAGGCCTGTACTTCCAGCACCCGCCGCAAAGCTATGCGCTGGAGGGCTTCAAATTGCGAATTCGACATCTCCTCTCCCCGAGACTTCACATAACAACATAACTTGACCTGCAGATTACAATATGACTTGGTTCCAGCCCTTCTCTGTACATGATCTATTGCGGTGCAGTCATGCCTTTCCATGGGCCAGGTAACAGCAAACAGCTGTGGAAGGTACGTTGTGAGTTCCTTTCCCCCAACTTTCCCCCCGTGCTTCGCAGGGCTTCAGAAACTACATCGCATGTTGGAGCAACGGGCAGCGTCACACAGGCTTGCAGCAGGATCATCAAACAACATTGTCCATCTGCGCAGATCTGAAATGATCTCAAGCATTGCAGCTGATTGTTGCTGAGACATGTTTGATGCAGGGGATGGACTTCTGGCAATTCGATGCTTAGCCACTGTGTTGTCGGGGCACGCTTGCAGCTAAGGGGCTTAGGCCTAAAATGGTAGCTTGGAACGACCCTCGGCTCTCTTCCTTAGGGTTTAAGCTTGATCTCAACAACCTCAAACCTTCAAGCAACACAGCCTAACAGGCTTAACACTGAAAGGACAGTATGATGACGCCGTTGAATACAGTACTGTCAATCCGGCAGCAACATGAGCACTAGCGACCGGGGCACGCGAATCAGAATACACAACGTAGCAACAACCCAAGGCCACAACAACATCATACCACCATTTGTCTAAAACTGCACCGTTGGCAGTAAGCAGTGGTCGCACCCAACATGGAAACCTTCAGAAGTAACCACTAGCCCAAACTAGCCAACTTTTAGCAGCCTGCATAGGGAGTCCTACCGGACCGGAGCAATTCGACACAAAACCAGTTTCACTTGAACTGCACCACAAGGGTGCTGATGAAAAAAGAAAGGCGTTGCTAGCCAAAAACCCTAAATCCCTCACGTCTTAACAAACTCCCATCTTAAACCCTGATCCTAAAATTCTAAAGCGTTAAGATTTTTAAAGCAGTCTGCACCGAAACCCTAAGGTTGCTGACTCCTAAATGCTTTAAGCTTACATTCCCAGACTCCTAAGCCCTGCATCCGTACGGGCATAAATTCCCAAACCCCGAGATTTGAAAACCCAAAGATACCAATCCCTCACTTCCAAACCCCCCAAACTCTGAAATCTTAAGCTCTCCAATCCTGCGCCGGCAAACCTTCTAAGCCCTCAAAACACCTATCCTCTCATGGAACCTGAAATAGGATTTCTTGTAGACTACTGTCCTTTTGAGGAGCGGCTGATTTGCCGATACATCTTAGCTTGAGGGTAAATCCCCCTATATCTGCAAACACCTCAACCCAAAACCCGAATGCCTGGTCCCTACACTATCCTGTAGGTCTATGATCTTGCGAAGGTTTCGGGTGTAGCGTTCAGGTCTACGATCTTGGGGAGGGTGCTCCAGCTGCCTCCTCGGCTTTGCGCCTCTGCTGTGCCGCCTGGCTTTGGGGAAGAGTTTAGGTTTAGAATTTAATTCGGATAGAGTGGTGGTTTCGGGGACAGGGTTCTAAGGTGCGGGTTTGCGGAGGTTGCATTTAGATTTAGGCATTTAGGGTTTCTAGGGCTTAGGACCGGGGTATGCGGGCTGAGGGTGTGGGGCTCAGGAAGCGGGATTCACGGTTGCCAGGCAGGGTTTGAGCTTTGAGGTCACTAGGTCTGCTTGGAGCTTTAGGCGGAACAATATGTTTCAGGGTTTAGGAGTTTAGGGGTTTAAGTTTAGGGCGTAGGAAAATCTACAGTTGCAATCCAAAACGACCTACCTAATATGTAGCTTTCTCATTGCTCCTTTGCTGATGCTCGCAATATCTGCAACGAGCTTGCGCTGTCATAGCAACTCCAACCGCTTGAAGTTGATATTCAGGTCTAATCTCATGATAACCTACCCAGCCCTTCTAAATTAAACACTATTATTAATGTTATAATCTTATTGCTATCTATTCCAGACCTTCTCTTGTTATTACTACTAATATTAATGTTGTTATATGGGATGCCTGAAGCTAGCCAAAAAAGTTCAAGAAGCCCTGATTGGTTCGGCGCTAACCATCTGCCAAACCCTAAACCCTAAACCCCTAAACCCTAAACCCTAAACCCCAACGGTCTTTTTTGAAGGCCTGTGCTGCCGCCAAAAAGAATCCTCGAAGGATGCACCGGGGGTTGTTCCCAAAACAGGTAGGGCTTAGGGTTTTAGGGTTTTAGGGTTTAGGGTTTTAGGGTTTAGGGTTTACGGTTTTAGGGTTTACGGTTTTAGGGTTTCAGGGTTGCAGGGTTTTAGGGTTTTAGGGTTTAGGGTTTAGGATTTTGGTACCCCTAAATGTTAGGTGACGCAATATAACCTATGCCCAAGAGGGGCCCATGATTTTCAGAACCAGTCAAAATCTCAAATACAGTGCAGTAGGCAATTTGCACTGCCCAACCGCTGGAAGTACAAAAATCACATACTTCCCCAAGACCTGTCCTACAATTATTTCTTGTAAAATTAAAACCCAACATACCCAGAAATTGCTTACGCGGACGGGTAGAGAAGCCCGAATGGAACGACGCATGAACTATCGTCTAAACTCCTAGTATCCCCCCTTAATAACCCCTATAGAGGCCCCCATATAACCCGCTACATAATCCCCCTTTAAGGACCCTATAGTAGTCTCTCATATAACCTCCTATATAACCCCCCTTTAAGGAGTTTAGACCCTAAACCCTAAACCCTTAACCCTAAACCCTTAAGGAGTTGATAATCCCCCTTTAAGGAGTTTAGACCCTAAACCCTAAACCCTCAACCCTTAACCCTAAACCCTTAAGGAGTTGATAATCCCCCTTTACGGAGTTTAGACCCTAAACCCTAAACCCTGAACCCTTAACCCTAAACCCTAAACCCTAAACCCTATGGCTCATATAAGACTCTGCCAGGTGCTCCTTTCGCTCGTTGACCTGTCAGCTCGCAGAAGAGAAGGTGCTTGGGGCGTGGTGTTTTTGCTTAGGGGCTACTAAAGGTTTAGGGTTTAGGAGTTTAGGGTTTAGGGTATCGAAGCCAATTGCCTGGACAAGAAACTCTTGAAAAGTGGAACTTCTCCTCAGGACTTAGGGAATAGCTACTAATAGTAGGCTACTAGGGGGGGTGGGATGACGAGCCACTATAGGGATCAATTCCCATAACCCGCAAGCTTCCGCTTCCGGCTTAGCAGGCATTGTGCGAGTCTGGTTGTCCAGTTTGCCGGCTAGCTGCACAGTGCATTTCAGCTTCCTGAACTTACTGCTGTAAATTCTGAATCCCTCCGGCACCAAACCTGTATGTAGTAGTCATCAGCTATCCTAGAAGTAGCCCGAATTTAGCATACGCAGAACCCAGATTTCTCCAAGCCATGGTCTGAGTTGAGATGACTTCCGAGCTTACTGGGCGATTCAGAGCGAGTGAGGAAGTGAATTTTGGTACAGCTCGAGGGGACCCTATGACGCTCCTACCAGGATGTAGCAGTATATTGTGGCATCCATTCGTGGTACAGCCTCTGAGCGCTGCAATAAACTTCGTCTTGGCCGCCAGAAAAGATTGGGGAAACTATTTGCCCAGGAAACGCATTTGTTGGCCCTCAGCCTGGATTTAAGAATGCTTTCGCAATGCATTTGCAACGATCACTATGGCCAGCTGCAACCCAATGTTGGTCAAACAATGCATCGAAAAGCTTGGCTACTGGCCCCAGCCTATTTCTAATACTGCTAGTACTCCGAGCGGGTATAAATGCATGCTCAAATGCTTTGCCGAGACCTTCCAGTCAAAGCGATCAGCAGCAACAGTATTGCTCAATGCTTACTTTCTGATTTGGTAATGCATTGTGGACCCTACACCCCGTACCTTAATTGATCTCAGAAATGTAGCAACCCTTTTCACGAGGATGGGACCACTCACCGGGAAGGATGGTGTCTTAAGAGGTCACCCTTCTGGAAATGGTCCCCCACCTTGGGAAACTACCCTTCACAGGTCCGGGCACAAGAAAATGACTTGATGGAACACGTGAGCACGCTGTTGTTCGGCCTTCAAGAGCTTCAACACTCGCCATGTTCTGCTGGAAAAAACGATGGCCAACAGCAAGGAGCTCATATATGGTACTCCCAAGTGGTGGCTTGAGGCGGTTATGGATGTGTCTTGAAGCTCTGGATATGTACACGGGGCCCATGCTCCTCGAGCCTACGCCTTGGAGATTGAAAGAGAGAGACCCCAGGTCTTGTGATCACCAAACGTACCACATACTGAAACCTCCAAGACAAATCCTGGCCTCAGAACTCCGGAAGCTCCGATGTACAGGCCCCTTAGCCCCTCAGCGCAAACATGCTGAACCTGAAACTGCTTACCCTGAGCTGTTGCCTCCTTTCGTCATAAGTGTCAGGGTCAGCACTATAACTTGTAGCATGATAAGCCAGACCCAACCACACAAACCCAAAATCCCCCACCTCCGGTATGTGTCGCCAGCACAGTGGATTCACCACCAGGCCGGCAAAACCTGCCAGCAATCTTTAGAGAGGCTGCTGCGCCATTCCATCCCATGGGCTTCTTCCGGGCCGAAACTTAGCAGACTGCCTTGGTGGTGATTTGAATCCCTATCAAATGAAAGACATGACGCAGCCGCGATTACATATCTCGCAAATGGCTTGGAGTTCAGGTTCAGGCTCGGCGGTGAGCTTCGGTAATTGATGGCTGCAGAATCTGGGGGACATGGCTCTGAGAACAAAACGATTCGTATAGGCTGAAGTATTTCTTATCATATGCGTATATGACTTTCTATCAGGGAATTTCTCGACCGATTGGGGCAAGATACCATGAGGAGCCCTCTGTCCACCCCGGCTGTGTGGCTAGGGACAAAACCTTGTCAATAACTCACATTGGGGCCCAACCACGACGGTAAAGATCTCAATCGTCCGGCTCTAGTAGTCCTAGCTGCAGTAGAGTGTGTCAATATGGCGTAACGAGAATAGCTCTGAAAATCTGCTGACAGCAGTAGTAGGCGCTGTCAGAGAAGCTATGAAAAGCTGCTTTGCAGCAGTGTAATAGATTGAGGCTAGCATGGTCAACATTGAGTCATCCTCACCCCCTCCTGTGAGCTCTTGCACGTCCCAAGTTAGCAAGCAACTTTGGATTTGGCTCAAGAATTCTCCTACATGGAGACAAATGCAAAGTGCACGTAACATTTCTACTTCGGACCACAGTCAAACCCAGAAAACCTCTTGCCTGCCACAGCTAGCGCATCATCGCAATCTGACGGCTGTCCTTGCAAAGACGCGGATGAACAAGGAAAAGCCTCAGGACTGAAGCCTTCAAAGGTTGAGAGCTTTTTATATGCGCAGTGCCTCTAGTACTCTCTTGGCATTGAGAGGATGCTGTGCACCCAAGCAATTTGCACAATTCAGTGCCCTTGAAGAGGGAGGCCGATCATGCTATGCTGCTCCCCTGATACAACAAAGAACGCTCGATCCGTGCATGCGCAGGGCAGAGTCTGGCTCCTGCAACTATAGTATATTGGGGCTATATAGGGATAATGGAAAAGAAAATGGAAACTACAGGGATTATAGGGGTTATATAGGGATTGTAGGGTATATATTGGGGCTGTATAGGGATAATGGAAAATAAAATGGAAACTACTACCGTATATTGGGGCCTATATAGGGATGATGGAAAAGAAAATGGAAACTACTACAGTATATTGGGGGCATATTGGGATAATGGAAAAGAAAATGGAAACTACTACAGTATATTGGGGGCATATTGGGATCATGGAAAAGAAAATGGAAACTATTCTTTGGCTTCGGAGTAGATGGCTAGTTGGGTCTGTCCAAGAGCAGGCTTTGACAGAAGCCTCTTCCTAGCTTAGAAGGAATCTGAAAGGGTTTAGGGTTTAGGGTTTAGGGTTTGGGTTCCCACAAAGATTGCCGTCCTTTCAAAAAGATACCCCTCCGCAGATTCCATGTTACTTTGACGCAGGGCAAGGGAAGAAAAGGATGAGAGTGACTGACCATGCAGATTGAAAGGCTTGGGGCTTTCGACCAGGCAGGAATTCAGTGATAAGATGAAGCTGGCGAGAAAATTCACAAATTACCAGAGACCCTGCTCTCACATTTGCATGACATCAAGCCCACAAATCCATAAAGTGTCTTTTCCATCTTCTTCAATCAAAAGAATGAAGAAGAAAATGATGGCCTTTGTTGAAGTCATTGCCGTTTACAAAGAAACATCTGGACATTATAATAATCCCTTGAATAACACACCTTTCAGGACAGTTACTGGACGGGGAATGACGCCAACTAGAGTAGCTTGGACACCAAATTTAAAAAGGCATAACCCCCCGCTCGGAAATGATTCTGCTAGCGCTGAACCCCAGATCCTACAGCCACCAAAAACCCTTGACAAAAAACCAGCATTGTTCTCCGTTATAAAGCTTTAGCTAAGGCATTTTCAAAACAAAATGCAATATTTAACAATGATCCGATTAACCCTTTTCCCGACCCTTATCCCCATTAACTCCTGCAACATCCCTGTCTTCCATTGCACATTGCTTTTCTTGCCCGTTTGATTCTCCCTTATTCTATCCCTGAACATGGAGGGTCCGGGGGTTTTGGTAAGTAGGCTGATAATTGGAATGACTGAGGTCATCGTATGGGCTGTATAGGAACTGCCAATATATTTGCGAAGTTCCCCTGTCTCTCTACCCCTCCAACTCTAACTCCTAAAACCCTTAACCCTAAGCCCTAAACCCTAAACCCCTAAAACCCAGGAAAAGGTCCTGCGAGAATGATGCCGAGTGCTGCAAAGAGGCAGAGAAGGGGCCTCCGCCAAGGAGTTGGCGGTTGCCGCCATGAATACTGTCGGGGGGTTGGGGATATTATCCCCCCAATTAATGGAAATCAACTGAAAAAGAGAATGAACAATCACATATGCGCTGGGGTTACCAAAATACTTCTTTTAAGGTGTAGTTGAGGTACCCTATACCATGATCAAACCAAGAATACGAGACCACAAGATTGCTAGTTGAATCAGAATCTCGTTGAAATCCCCACATCTCCCTCATCCCATCAGATTCCTATCCTCCGCGGGCTTAAAAGGGATGAAAAAGTGATATTTTCTGTGCACATCTACATATACACACGTGTTTACATCCTCTTCGTGCAGCCGAGGGAACGCCAGGCTGAATGTTGCCAGCCGCGTGCGCCTTGCCAGCTTTTTGAATTCAGCTCGCTCAGCTTTCATGAACCGGTTTAGGGTTTAGG